GTAGACTTTCATTTGTATAAGAGAGAGTTGAACACAAGATGTAGCACAAATGAAGGCACACGTTGTGGGAGAGAAAGACAGAGATCCAGAACATCATTTGATTCACAGGATGTGGACAAATTATCCATAACTCCGGGTGCTGGTACATTGCTAAAAACTTGTACAGATTCAGTCTTAACACAGCAGTTAGTAAAAGAGAAAGTACTGTCTGCAGCTCAAAATCCCAGCAGCTTTTCGCCAGTTTTACCTGTTCTTCAGGAACAGAAGAAAACCCTTTTCTTTAAGTCTCTTCCATCAGGATTTTTTGTTCCTTTGCACCTTGCTAACCAGCCTGGACAACAGGTGGCTTCAGGAAAATTTTTTCCATCAACCAGTTCATCAGATGGGCACGTGACTAAAGGTGTACCTGCATCTTTTGTTTCAAATAAGGGACCTGGAATGATTTTGACTTTTAGCAGAGCAGTTGGAACAGTTACAAGTGCCGCTAATGATAGTTCTCAGGTTTTAGGGGGAATTGCATCCAGAGAAGTCGGTAAAATAACCATATCAACTTCAAAAATGAAGGGGGAGAATGACAGTTTTGGAAATGTAAGAAGTTCCTGTAATAGGGAAGCAAGTAGTACAGCACATGATTCGTTGACTAGCATGCCATTCAGAGGACCTCCTGTAACTACAAATGCATTGGAGTCATCTGTGAAAGGAATTTCTTCTGTGAAAGTGTTATCAGAGCATCGGGATGCTGTCTTTGGTTCTTTGGAGTCAGTAAACCAACAGGAAATTAAACAGGAACAAGATGTTTATGCACTTTTGCCTGATGGACAGCAGGGAGCTTTTCTGAAATGTACGACACCAAACAAGCCTGTAGTTCATAAACCAATTTTTTTTCAGGATAATGCTCATTATCAAAATTGTCAACCAAAGAAAACTAGAGCCATGCAACAACAGCTTTTGCCGAAAATGAAACCTCCTACTTCACATACACTGGCTGATACCACTCAGTCAGTGAGCAACTCAGTGCCCTCACTACAGGCAGATAACTTGCAGTTCCTTACTCCTGCACTAGCACAGAAACAAACTAATCTTAGTTTTAATAATGCCTTAATCTTACCAGGTGGGTTAATGCCAGCAAATGCCTCTTTGGCAAGCTCTAATCCAGCATGTTGTGTTCCTCCCGTAGAACCTGTTTATTCTACTAAATCTGCAGGGACACGATTGCAAAAAGGTTCTATTGAGAGTACACAAGTAATAACTGCTAACAACAGGAATAACTTTGGTTGTCAGAAATCAACATGGAGCACCCAAACCAGAACTGCAAAAGTAAAACCTCGCTTAAAACAAACACGGTCTAAAAGTTCAGAAACTCGAGGTGTGCAAAGAAATAAGAATTTCAAACGTAAAAGGAAGGCTAGTTGCCCAGAACCTCCAAGAAAGAAAGCAATGTTGCACAGAAAGTGTAAGGAAAAGAATCAAGCTGCAGTTGTTAGTGAATCAGGTAGCCCTTACAAACAAAGGGCATCAAAAAAAACTGTGAGGACTCTGAAATTACTTCCTTTTAATTCTAATCAGCTTGTAAAATGCCCTCGGAGAAACCAACCAGTTGTTGTGCTTAACCATCCTGATGTAGATGTTCCAGAAGTTGTAAATGTAATGAAAACTATTGCTAAATTTAAGGGACATGTTCTTAAGGTTTCATTGTCAAAAAGAACTATTGAAGCGCTTCTGCAGCCAGCCTTCTGCAATCCTTTGGATGGAACTACTGATGATTTTTCTCAAAAAAGATACAGGACCGTAAAACCTATTAGCCCTGTAAAAGAAAGATTTGTCTTAAAATTGACACTGAAAAAGACTAGCAAGAACAATTACCAGATTGTGAAAACTACCTCTAATAATACCTTGAAAGCTAAGTTTAGCTGCTGGTTTTGTGGTAGAATATTTGACAATCAGGATAATTGGGTGGGACATGGACAGAGACATCTGATGGAGGCCACTCGAGATTGGAATTCGTTAATGGAAGGATGACTGGTGAAGAAAATAAAACTTAAATACCGTGCATTAAAGTTTTTCAAAAAATATTCAATTGAATTAGGATACACAAGTGATTTGCTTTTTATGTCAGTATTGTAACTGAAGTTCAAAAATGATGAAAAGTGCTTGTGTTTTAAAAGAAAGAGCATATTCCCTATTGGCATCAGCTTTGAGAAAGATCAAGGAGCTTTGTGGTTTAAATAACTTGTAACTAACTGCAAATACAATTCCATAAAAAGATATATTATTTTTTATTACTACTATTATGTGCTATATTTTTATTCTATAGAATGAATCTTCAGGGCTTTTGTTCTGTACATATTTAAAAATCTCTAAACATGTAAATATTTTTATACTTTTCAGTTACTTGGTATAATTCTTGCACAGAAATTACACCCCATCCCCCATTTTTCAGTTCTGTGCATGCACTACTAAAACCAATTTTTAAAATCTTTTCAAATACACGCAGTTGTTATCCTGGGATTTCTGTTATTTTCACTTATTAGCTCTTGATTTTGTTTTTCAGGGATTGAACACTATTGTTAGCAAGTGCCTCAAAGATGTGAAGCAGTTTACATAATGTCAACTGTGTAACCATGGGTCTATATAGGGCCATTCCCCCAACAGTTTCATTTAAACAAAGCCATATGTGAATGCTTTAAGCTATATTGCTATGCACATGACACTTGTACTATTTCTGTGCAGTTTGTCTACTTTCTTAGTGAAGTATTTTCATATAAATTAATAAAATGTTACGTTTGTGTTAATATGGTGAGTCAGAATAAAGTCGATTGAAAATATACAGTATATATATTCATAATGTATATGGTGTTAAAGAATGGTGAACATTCCTAATCTGTATTGACTTTGTCACTATTAAATTTGCTACAACTTGTGTTTACAGAAGATGACCCTGAGCATTTATAGAAAATATTCCTGTCTTGCTGTGTCTGCCACAAACCCCGTATCGGGAAGTGCAAAGCACAATTTCAGGCCTGTAACTGCATTATAGTTTTGTCCCAGGTGGATGTAATTTGTTTTCTGCTATTGGTTATTCAGATACACTGCCTTTTAGGGTACTGGGGGTTTGGCAAAACCAAGGCTTGTATCACATCTCCCTCATTTTACCAGCCAGTAGGGTAATGTTCTTAGGTGCCTCCTGGCTTCCTACTTAGACTTTTTGGGATAATGATGAAGAGAGAATATGCTTCACATTTTTTAATGTTTATGTGAGGGTATGTAAACAGAAGTCCATATCCATAGTGACTGAGAGTACACAGATGGAGGTTCTTATTATCCACAGTAATTATGTGTAGAGGCTTTGTCCTTCAGATTGTTAATGAAGGAGACTAGAACATCCAGACCTTTTGCCCAAGTATGGGAGGATTACATCTTAGGTGTGCAAATCAGCTTCCCGAAGTACTGATGGAAAAACTTCCAAAATTGAGTACTGGGCTTGGAGAGGACTGGGGTATTTAAATCTTGGGGATTTTAGATTGTACACAAGCCCAAGTAGTTCTCTGTGACTATTTCCATAAGGTGAAAATGAAGATTGCCTTGCTACCAATGAAACAGTTTGAAGTCTTTCATGGATGTCATAGGCATGTCCACTAACCTGAATTCAGCTTCTGTTTTAAAAAGTGTTAAAATGATTTAAAAAAAAATTACTTCAGTGGCTAGATAACGTTTGTCTTTCTTTATGTGTCTGTTGGTAGGAAGATGCCCACTCGCTTGTAGCTGGTGAGTTATGTATGGGAGTCAACTGAAGCAGTCAAGGCAGCACAGTTTGGGTGAATTACAAGTTGGTGTGTGTTGGTATTACATAGAGCTGGTATGTGTTTTGTATCAAAATTGGATAATTTTGTGCTGGGTTTGAGCTCTGGTGATAATTTGGCTAGGAACTTTGCAGACAAAGTGTGGTGGTGAGGAAGTAGGTTGGAAAGAAATGGGATTAGGAAAGGACAAAACCATGTTAAGCTTCTTTGAGTAGAAGGATCGAGCTCTTGTCTGCCTCATTTTACTCTCCTATAAACCCTGAAACTGAACCTGTGAATTTTGGATATTGCCTTTGCCTTCTTTGGCAAAAATATCAGTGAATTTTTTGCTAAACCTACTTGGTGCCACTTCAGCAAGGATGACCAGTTTTTGTTAACAATTACTCAGCATCAAGATTGAAGTTCTAATGTAGAATAGGAGAATTTCTCTATATTTACAGATCATGAGAGTGACAATTGTCACTGGAATTTTTTTCTCACTGGCTTGTTTTCCTATGAATTGAGTAACCTTAAGTGGTGCTGTGAAAAAGAACACTGTAAAACTAGGAAATGTTGAAATAAGGTTGCTTTATACAATCTAAGTTCACTGTTATATCACTTTATCCATGGACATCCATCTCATTCATTCTGTAATGGCTGCTCAATCCACAGCACTGGGATTTCTAATATACCATACTTCATCCTGAGGGCCAATTTATTTTATGTCCAGAATCTAGGAAACGTTCCTTTCTTCCTGTATTAAACACTGAGTATAGTAAAATAGGTGATCCCATACTGGTGGGTTTGTGCATTTGGTGGTTTGTTGTTTTTTGTTTTTTTTTTTTTTTTTTTCCCCCCCTGTAGAGCCTTATTTTGTGCCTAGGATGTTCTCAGGCTGAACGGATTATTTTGTGGAAGGTGGTATTGCCTATCAACTCCTTGCCTAATTTTGTTGTCAAAACTATATGGTACCCCTGTAATCATGTAGAACAAGGATAAAAGGAAAAGAAGGGTTTGAGAGTGAATGTAACTGCACCTTTGCCTAGAGCACACTTGTTATTTGTAAGTCAGCAACAATGTTATATGCAGTGCTGAGCACTTAGAGCCCATAGACAGGAGCAGGAGTGCTTTAAAGTGCTCAGAAGTGCTAATTACCTTAAAAAATAGATACTTAATCTCTCATATGGAAGTCTGTACCTACGCTTGAATTTCACTTGTTCGTATCTTTTTCCCCCCTGCAGTTCTAGAATGATGGTGGTACTACACACTTAACTCAGAAGGCAGTCTTTGGAGAAGTTAGACATTTGTGAGGAGCAACATAGAAAGGTTAGCAGGCAGACAGTTTTGTTAGTACAAAGTTTAAATACTGTGCAATACATGAGTGAATAGACAAGGACTCTACTTAAATTTTGAGTGGCTGCTTTTTCAGAGTACTTTCCATTGTGAGTAAGCTTTTAAGGTGATGCTTAAAGTAGCTAAATAATATGAGTACACATATAGAAGGAATAAATTAAACTTGCAGGAACTACTAACTTTTGTTAATTTTGAAACCTTGACTTGGCAATCTTAATGCTCTAAACATTACACAGGTATTAAGCATAATATTATTATAACACTAATATCAACTGAGCGATGTACTAAACATAGCATTTATGCAGTAATGTGAACAGACTGTCATAGCCAGGCTTGTGTAAAGTCTGTATACATTGTTTCTTACTTGCCAGTGTATTACTTGCTTTACATCTGGGCTAAGTATTGCCTGGGTTGCAGAGGGAAGACACTGAGATGCTGAACATCCTACTAGCATGCAGTTCTTTCTAGAAGACAGGTGCATTACTTGTAGAAGTAACTGATGAAAGGCACGAGAAAGTAGTTGCAGAATACAGCTACAATATGGCTCTCTAAGTGACTTGCTGGAACTTTACAAGTCTTGACTCAATTTTGCCTTAAATGCCTTGCAGATAATCCTAGAAAACACTGCCTAACCTGGAACAAAAAGAACAAAACGTGAGTATAAAGTGACAGTTTTGGAAAATACCTTTAAGATGGATGAGTTTTCAGGTCCAGTGAAATCAAACATCTCTAGAACTAATTAACAACTGTTCCTAAAAGTTTTTCATTGATGCAATTTATACAGTCATCAAATTAATTTTTACCCCTTGAACATTGTGCAAATTTACTTGGTTCACACAATAATACAATAAGTAAAGCATGGTGATAGAACCGGCCTGAAAAAACGAGTGGGTTTTTGTGTGTGTGTCCATAAACAATAATTCTGCAAGAACTGAGTGGTTAATTACTTTAGCAATGAAGCAGTGCACTTGAGTCACCAAGAGTAGGTAATTTGAAGACAAAAGATTTGAGAGCCATTAAGCCAAATATATAATACATGCAAAAGCTGTAAAAAGGGATGGTTTTCGTAACAACTGGTGAAGGAGCACATACAAATATATACATTAAAACATCAACAGTAGTGAATCGATGCTTTCTTGGTGGAAAGATACCAAGAGATGAAATCCAGCAATGTCTATACAGTACTGACTTTACAATATTTTTTATTTTATTTGCACATTTGAAAATATAAACAAAAATATCAATGAAACAGGGTAAAGCTGAGGGAAAGGACAACACATGTCCATTAATCTGTAACATTCAGGCACCTCTGCTGCCACTGATCACATAAAATACAGTCCTATTTTCAACTTGTGCATGGTGGTACATTAGGTCGATTTGGTCTAATTTTTGGGGCTGTGCACTTTACAAAGAAATTGCTGAAAGCAGTGATCTGTGGTAAACAAATTGAAAAAGCAGTGAGTATTCTTGTTTTCAAAATGAAAATGTCCCACAGGATGTCTGTCTTTAAATAGCAGTCAAAGGACCAGGCTGTGATATGCAGTTGTTCTTCACTTGACTTTGGATACCTGTGTTGTCCCTGATGGAAATCACAGATGAGAGTACATCTGCTTTGGCTTCTTGTGTTAAATGTGAACACTTTTCTGATAAAAGTGATGTGGGGTTGAACTCTATGAACTGCATCTCTTACTATGCAGTAGGTGCTCTTAAAGTTTTCCATTATTTTGGATTTTCTTCTTTTAATACCTTGTCCATGTCTTCAGATGTTGAAAGAAATGATTAAAGAAGACTTCATTTTAGCAGTTCAGTTTGATTAAGAAACTCTTACAATGTGTTTCAGTTTTGTTGAGTCTTTTGTGTTGTTTTGGCTGTCAATTAGAACCAGGGAGGTGCGCTGATGATTCTCTACTATTTCAGCAACACTGTCAAAGCGCTGGATAAAGAAAACAAAAAATAATTAGTGCTGGCTTCCTTTAATACTTTTTTATCTTTGTTTCTAACATCACTGAAGAGGGCTAAGCTATGACTATTACCAAGTGAGACGCTCTACCTTTAATTAAGAGCACTGATCCTGCTTTAATTCTGATTCTAGTAATAAACACATTAAATTTGGACCTTGGAAGATATTATGGCCACTAGTTGTCTCATCCTTTCCATTTGTGATTGTCACCTGTACAGACTGAACCACAGAGTTTGTTACAAGCCACAGTAAACTGACACTGCTTTGATTTTACCTCAGTGTGTACTAGGCTGCAGACTGGCAGTTTGGAAGCTGCATAGATGTGATTCAGACACCTCAGAGGGAAGGCTATCTCCAGGATTAACATGGTACAGACAGCCATCAATGAGAACTGTTCTATTTATGCAGTTGTAATGTTTGTCACAGTAAATTAATATCCAGAATCTGCTAGATCTGTTGCTTTTCGTTTTGGTCTTTGGTCAAATACTGATTTTGGACTATTTATTTATTTATCCTGAGATAATTTTTGACCCGTTGTTGAAGGCCAGGTGAGCTCCAGGCTATTATTTATTCTGTAATCTCAAAACCATTGCCTGGGATGCAGATAATTAGGCTAAGGTAAGCTTACTTTCACATTACTGAAAAGCCTAGTCTGTGCAGCAATAATGAACTGTTTTTATTGGTATTTGGGTTCCACGTTTCTGTTTTCCTGTCAGAACAGTTACCTGTGTGGTATAATAGCCAACCAGCGATTTTTTTCATTCTAGAACTAGAGTTTAACGTTTTCTTTATGTGAAAACAGTATTAAAAGTAATGTCAGCCTCATTTTGATTGCGTGCTGGGGGTTTTCTTGAGTGTGGCTGTCCTTTTAAAATTTTCCAAGAAACTTAACTAGAGCCTTAGGTAGAAGGTAAATGGAGGACTATAAACAGCAGAAAATTTATCTAGCAGCTGTAGCTCTGATCCTGTTAACTTTTTTCAAAACTGTTCTACAAGTATGTTTTAAACTTGATCTGTGGTTTTAATTATAGTATGCAGGAGCTGACATTACGCTGGTTTCTCTAGCTTAACAGATCAGTCATTATAAAGGGCATACTTTTATCTTGTTACATGAAGAATCTTACTGCAATATATCTTAATCTTTTCTTATTAAAGGTATATAACTGAAAACTTTGGAAAAACATCCCCTCATCATCTCACCTCTTCACCACTTTTTTCTCTGCCCAGTGCATATTGTCTTGTTGATTCAATAAATCTTATAGGAATGTTGTATACTCTTCTGTTGTAAAACACAACCAGTGTGTATGGTTGCTGTGAGTCCTGTCCAGAACTCTTTCTTATTAGAAAAGATCCGTCCTGAAGAAAGAAAAGTAAATATTTGGCTTATTTTTTCAAATAACTTAGTTTGGTTTTAACTTAATATTTTAATTTATATTGGCATTAAACTCTTTTCTCCTATTAGAAAAACTGTACACCAGCAGATGAGAAGTAGCATGTATTCCTGCTGTCTAACAGTAGCATACAAAGGTGTCATTTAAGAATCACCTTTGCTGCTGCCTGTTCTCTCTCTCTCAACCAGAGAGAAAAAGAAGAAATAAATACACAATGGCAGCCATCTCTCCGGGTCCACAGATTATTAGGAAATAAAGTTACTATCAGTGGCAGTAAGTAGGCAAAAAAACAGTGAGAGGTGGAGATACTGTTTCTCCAGAGCTGTAAAAAGCACTCTCAAAGTCAAGCACCTGCACTAGTGACACTGTAGCCCTGTGCTCACTAAGAAGCAGTAACCTCTATTTGGTGATAAACCCCGTGCTCTGCCACTTCATCTTGCTTTGTGGAGTTAGGCAAGTGTGGGAACGTAGCTGATGCTGAGGATGCAACTCTACATGCTGCTGTTCCCTCCAGGGACACTGGCTTTTGTATGCAGAATAGTTGAGAGAACTGAAATTCTCTAAGTACCTAAATGCACAGTGTTGATATTTCAAAATGCATGGCAACCTCAGCTTTTCCAAAGAGAAGCTGTTTTCACATCAGCCACTGGACAGTGGTGGAGGTCACTTAAAAGTCACGGGGCTTTGCATTTCTTTAAGGGATGCTCGTGAGCTACCAGGTCTTCCTCAGCTCTCTAGTCTGTAATAGTTTTCTCCACAAGGCTCCTGTTATTGAGTTACACTGATGCAACTTTGTCTTGTAATGAAAACCACAGTTAAATAGTTTCACCACAATAATTTCAGTTTTGATATTTGACAGTACTTGCATGGCACGGTATTCTGACTTACTCAGAATACAAGTGAGGTTCTTAGAATATTCTTGATTGCCTTTTGATCTTTTATATTTGAAGGGTTTTTTTTCATAAACCAGACATTTTTTAAAAGTGACTTACCTTGTTTGATCGGTACAATGCATCTTCTGCCATTTTCCTATCACAGGTAGCAGCATACCATGCTTTACTGTGAACACCAGCATCCTAGAAGAAAGAAACAGTGTTTTACCTGTAAAATAATGGTGGTAATGAATATGGCCTGTAGGGGAGTTACTACTAAATAACAACAGCTGTGAAGAACTAAAATGCAGAAAACAGTTGAGAAAAGTCTTTGCCATGAGCTCACTGTTTTAGTTGGATAGAGATAGGACAAAATAAAACTGGAGTTTTAAAGCAGTGGTAATAGATGTGTGATAGAAGGCTGATAAATGACGAAAGAGGAGTACTCTGAGGAAAGCAGTCAGGTTCAACTGGAGGACAGTTTGGTATTTTTAAAGAAGAAAGCTATTCTAATCGAATTTAAAGAGGGTATCCAAGAAATGTTGAGGAATAAATAGACTGTCAACAATTTAAATGCTGCTCAGCTGTGGGCTAGCTAATGAGGTGTTCAGATTTGGTAGGCATCTTTGGAAATGATGTTTCCTGTATACTTAATGCTACTTGTGAACACAATCATGATTGTCTCCACCTGGATATCATGAAGGTTGGATAAGTGCATATTTTGCTCTTTTTGTTGTTATTAAGTAAGGACAAATGAATGGAGTCCTTACAAAACTTAGTAATAATTAATGTCTTTCCTCTAATAGTACAGCAATTCAGCCCACAGTGCTTTCACCCAAGACATGGATTCAGTTCTGGTTCTCTGTTGGATTGAGCCTCAATGTATCCTTACATTTGAAGCAGTGCTCTTTATCTAAAAGGCATAAAACTATGTTTACTTGTGGAGAATGATTATATCTGTGACCAAATAGAAGAGTGGCTTATATTTTATAACATATTTCTGTTATAAAATATTCCTCATTTCTGTATGTTATCCCCTGTAAACATCTCACCAAGATTATCTGCCTCCTCTCCATTCTGTTAAATGCTTGGCAGTGTGCTGTACAGCAGATGAACTTAACCCTTAACCTGTTCTTCCAGTGGGAAACATGGGACAAAGGACTACATGGGTGTGGGCATAGGTGCAGACCTACAGGTACATGGTAGAAAGACTGACACCCTAAAAATTTGTGAATTCTATTTTAGAAGATAGAAGCTCTCATAGCAAAGGAAGTACAAGGATAAAAAGATGTGAGGAGGTGATGGCAGTTGGGAGTGGTACAAGAGTAGAATTTGAGTGAGAGAAGTAATGGTAGAAAACTGGGTAGTAAAATGACGCAGGAATGAGCATACATCTGGGGAACAGGAGTGGAGTTTAGGGAAAAGGTATGG